GATGAGAAGCGTAGAAGGAGAGATGACAAAGTAAGAATGGGCAGAGCCTCACATTCCTGTCGAGTCATCCAAGCTGTGGCTCAGATCTGTAGGCCCAGTCGTTCCGGAAACCTTGATAGAAGCAAGCAACGACGAGGTATGAAACTCTTGGACGATTATTTTGTCCATAATAGTGCATTTCCTGATACGTACTTTAGACGTCGTTTTAGAATAGAATAACATTTGTTCAACAAAATTATGATTGCTGTTTGCAACTATGATTCTTACTTTGTGCAAAAGAAGGATGCTTTTGGTGCTATGAGTCTCATTCCTCAGCAAAAAATTATTGCTGCCTTGCAGATGCTTGCATATGGATCATTTGTAGACCAAGTGGATGAGATAACGAGGATGGGGAAATCAACTATTCTTAAGTCCCTGATGAGGTTTTGCGGAGCAATCAAATCTATCTACACCGCAGAGTACCTTCGGAAACCTACAAACATGGACTTGGAACAGCTTCTGAAGAAGGCTGAAATGCGTGGTTTTCTTGGGATGATTGGAAGCATTGATTGTATGCACTGGACGTGGAAAAACTGTCCAAGTGCATGGCAAGGCACTTATGGGGACAGAAAAGGAGCAAAAAGTATCATTTTGGAGGTGGTGGCATCTTTTGATACATGGATTTGACACGCATTTTTCAGGATTTCGGGAGCTCAAAATGACATCAACGTCCTTGCCCAATCCCCAATGTTCAACAATGTCCTGCAAGGAAAGGCACCAAAAGTCACGTATGAGGTTAACGGACGTATGTACGACGGGCCATACTACCTAGCTGACGGTATTTACCTAAGATGGTCAACATTTGTCAAAACAGTGCCACGTCCGTGAAGTGCAAAGGAAAAACACTTTGCAAGCTGTCAAGAGGGGTGCAGGAAGGATGTGGAGCGTTGTTTCAGTATCCTCCAAGCTCGCTGGGTGATTGTTAGGGGTGCTGCCAGATTGTTTGATGTAGAGTTGCTTCGATCCATCATGATGACATGCATCATTCTTCACAACATGATTGTGGAAGATGAGTACGATTATGAAGCCGTTGATGAATATGAGCTAGACACAATGAACAATATATTATGCTCATGACGCCACTGTAGACATCAAAATTTCGGTGAAATAAATGTTGACCAAAAATTAAAATTTCAACGCTCACGTATCACATAAATTTTACATGTAGCGTGTGACTCAACGAAAAATCGAAATAAATTGGAAAAGTCATCAAATAGGACACGTGTCAATACCTGGCAGAAATGATTTATTTCATCTGATTATTTAAATCCAAAAATCAAGTTTTGGAATTCTATAAATAGGAGGCCAAGGCATTCATTTTGAAGGAAGAAAGAAAAGGAGAAGGAAGGAAGGAAGGAAGAGGAAGAAAGGAAGGGAAATTGATGTCACACCAAAGCCTTCAAGCCTTGAAACTCTAAAGCTCTCAAGCAAATCCCGAAGGATCAAGAAAGCACTCTTCGTTCTTCGTCAAATCCTCCTTCAAGATCAAGCCCCAACGGCCCTTGAAGAACTTCCACCAACTCAAGATCAAGCCCCGACGACCCTTGAGGAAAGTGTTCATCGTTCATCATCCATCAACCTTCAAGATCAAGCCCCAACGGCCCTTGAAGAACTTCCACCAACTCAAGATCAAGCCCCGACGGCCCTTGAAGAAAGTGTTCATCGTTCATCATCCGTTCATCCTAAGTTCAAGCCCCAATGGCCCTTTGGATCAACAACCTCAACAAATCCACACATCCAATCGTTCTTCAAGATTAAGCCCAAAAGCCCTTGAAGATCCGCTCATCCATCAACCTTCAAGATCAAGCCTCAACGGCCCTTGAAGAACTCCCACTAACTCAAGATCAAGCCCCGACGGCCCCTTGAAGAAAGTGTTCATCATTCATCACCCGTTCATCCTGAGATCAAGCCCCAACGGCCCTTTGGATCAACAACCTCAACAAACTCATACACCCATTCTTCAAGATCAAGCCCAACGCCCCTTGAAGATCCATTCATCAACTGTGCATCCTTAGATCAAGCCCCGACGGCCCTTTGGATCAACAACTCATCCACAAACCCACATCGTACGAAGATAGAATCAGAGGATCAAATTACAAAGAGATTGTAACCCCAAAATCATTAATACAAAAAATATATTTTGTACACGTATTCTTGTCTCTTGTGTTTCAGGAATTTCTCGTGTTTACAAATTTGGCACGCCCAGTGGGACTATCTCTACCTCTCATCTCTATCCTCAAATCATCAAAAAACGCAAATGGCATCAAGAAAGGATCAAGCTGTTCCTGCAATCAAAGCAAAGAACAAGAACATCATCGCCGCAAGTGGTGATATTTCGGGCATCATAACCCGAAGTAAGGCAAGAGATCTTTTTGCCGCGGCTTCCGCCCCTGCATTAACTCTGTCAAAGGAACAAGAGCACCTGAGGTACGAGCCTGTGATCACCCTAGCCTCGCTAAGGGCATCAAAAGGGGAGAGCCCAAGGAAATACTCAGAGTCCCTACTCTCCGACGCTGATTCGAGCGGCAGTACAACCATGCAAGTCATGACCACGGGAGCAACTTCAATCAAGGAGCAGCTAGCTCAGATGAATGAAGCAATCGCAAAGCTCACACGAACTGTGGAAGAGAATGACTTGCAGATTGCCGCACTTGTCAACCAACTAGATGCGCTGCCCGACGTGAAAGTCGACCCAATTGTTGGCCTATTAAAGAAAGAAGGCGACGAAGAAGAGGAGCCACCAGCGGAGAAAGTCGAAGAGAAGCCGAAGCTAGACCAAGCAACGACATCCATGGGATCTCTCTCTATCCAGCAGCTACAGGAGATGATCGCAAGCACTATCAAGACACAGTACGAAGGAAGCTCGCATGACTCCGTACTGTACTCAAAGCCTTACTCCAAGAAGATTGATGCTTTGAAGATGCCAAGGGGTTATTAGCCCCCAAAATTCATGCAGTTCGATGGAAAAGGCAACCCGAAGCAACATGTCGCCCATTTCATTGAAACTTGCAACAATGCTGGGACAGAGGGAGACTACCTCGTCAAACAGTTCGTGCGTTCGCTGAAAAGTAACGCTTTTGACTGGTACACTGACCTCGAACCTGAGTCTATCAACAGTTGGGACCAGCTAGAAAGGGAATTCCTCAACCGTTTCTACAGCACTCGTCGTACTGTAAGCATGCTAGAGCTGACTAGCACGAAACAGTGGAAAGATGAACCTATCATCGACTACATAAATAGATGGCGCTCCTTAAGTCTGGATTGCAAAGATCGGCTTTCTGAAACCTCTGCCATTGAGATGTGCGTTCAAGGCATGCAGTGGGGACTACACTACATCCTTCAAGGCATCAAACCACGAACATTCGAGGAGCTAGCCACCCGCGCCCATGATATGGAGTTAAGCATCACCCGTCATGGGAAGAAAGAACAGATCGCCGACTACAAGAATGACAAAGTTTTGGGGCCAAAGGTGGATAAGGCTACGTGGAAACCCACCAAGGAAGCAATGACGGTCAACACAACTCCAGTCAAAATCCCTACACGAAGCAAGGTGATTCAAACCGAAGCTTTTCGTGATCAAGAGATACGTAGACGCACTTTGAAGGAGCTTGAGGAGAAGACTTATCCATTCCCCGACTCTGACGTGGTTGCCATGTTGAAAGACTTGCTTGACAAAAAGGTGATCGACCTACCTGAGTGCAAACGGCCAGAAGAGATGAACCGTACTGACAGTCCAAGGTACTGCAAATTCCACCGCTTCATTAGTCATCCGACGGAAAAGTGCTTTGTGCTAAAAGATCTCATCATGAAGTTGGCTCAGAAAGGGATCATCGAGCTAGATCTTAATGATGTGGTGAAGTCAAACTATACCACCGTCACTTCTGGCTCTTTGAACTCAAAATCTTCACCTCAACCGCTGGGGGCATGCTCCAAAACCATGTCAGTCAAGTCAAGTGAAGTTGAAGGATGGACTTATGTCACTCCAAAGAAAATGCACAAGAAACATAGGCCTCCTCCACAAGTTCGCCAATCGGAAAGGGGGCAAAGCAGCTACCGTCAACCTTCAAAGCTACATAAAAGTATTGAGGATGATGAAGTTATGACACAAAGATCGTCCGTTGCCATCACAATGCGCGATTTCTTCCCCAAAGAATTCTTCAATCACTCAGTCAAGACTCCTTGCTATAAAGATTGCAAGGAATGCCTCTCTAAGATCGTTTGACAAATTCAAAAAAAAGCTCCTCGTTCGCACGAGCCTAAAAGGTGACAACCAAAGCTCCTCGTTCGCACGAGCCTAAAAGGTGACAACCAAAGCTCCTCGTTCGCACGAGCCTAAAAGGCGACAACCAAAGCTCCTTGTCCGCACGAGCATAAAAGGCGACAACAAACGCTCCTTGCCTGCACGAGCTAAAAATGCAAACGGCACCAAGATGCTCCTGGCCCGCAAGAGCATAAACTGTGTACGGCAAAATCATCATCAAAATCATCGCTCATTTGAACTACGTCATGACTTGATCCCTCCTCAACCAAGGGTACGTAGGCAACTTGAAATTTCAAAACTTCAAGTACAGTCACATCAAAATAAAGAATAAAGATTTCATTAAAGGTTTGATTAATGAAGGTCAATGTTATTGCAATTTCTTTGTACAAAAAAAAAACATAAAAAAAAAAACAAAAAAAAAAAACAAAAAAAAAAACAAAAAAAAAAAAAAAATATATATATATATATATATATATATATTTCTATATTATATATGTTGAAGTGTCCGCTTAAAAGCCGCATGGATGAAGCAAAACAATCTTAGCCAGCTCGTTTCCATCTATCCGTCTCTCCATTTCTCTCTCTGCTTTTTGCAGCTTCACATCTCCCAACTCCAAAGTCCCAACCTCCCTCTCTCTCTTCAAACTCAATTTCACACCCCCCTCCCAAAAAAAAAAAAACCCTAAAAAATCTCTGATCTCAACCCGACCCATTTCTTGCCGGCCCCAAATACCCAAACCCACTTTCCACCCGACCCAAAATCGGCGCCGATCCGATCTTCCTGGGCTCCTCCCATTACCAGAACCCAACTTCGGAGCTTCGAGAACAGTTGTGTCGGGCACAAACGCGCAGAGAGGGGGGAGAGAAGAGTACAGGGGAGAAGAAATGTACAAGAACCAGCTGCAAGAGCTGGCCCAAAGAAGCTGCTTCAACTTGCCTTCCTACACGTGCATTCGGGAAGGTACGGACCTCGCCTGACCTCACCAAGGTCACCATCATCAAATTCCTCTGTAACCCATCGACTTCTCCCACCGCGCCTCCGACGCCGTCCTCTACAAACCCCTTCGACCTCACCATCTGGGGCGACTCGCCCGACCCGCCCGAGTCAACCAAGTCCCTCGTCGTCTGCAACCCTCTGACTCGTCAGTTCCGGGTCCTCCCTCAGCTCGGCTCGGCCTGGTCGCGCCACGGCTCGGTCTTCGTTGACTCCCAAACTCGAGTCATGGTCCTCACCGAGCTCGCCGCGCTCTACTTCTCCGGTTCTAACCAGTGGCTCAAGTTCTCATCGAACCTCCCGTCAAAACCCAGAAGCCCAATCTTGGTGTTCGACTCGGTTTATGCCCTCTGCGATGTGGGTTCGCCGTGGAGGAGTGAATGGAAGCTGTTCCACTGCACAATTTCGAAGCTCAAGACCTCGCAGACTTGGACTCGGCTCGAAAAGCACGAGTGGGGGGACGTCTTCGACATCCTGAAAAGACCCCGTTTGGTTTGCGGAAATGGGAACAAGGTGCTGATGGTTGGTGGGTTGAAGTCGTCTTTCTCACTGAACGCTTCGTGTTCGACGATTTTGATTCTGAAGTTGGACTTAGATAGCTTGGAGTGGGACGAGGCGGGCCGAATGCCGGTGGAGATGTTCAAGTGCTTTCAAGAGTCGAGCAAGTTCAAGGTGTTTGGTGGCGGCGATAGGGTCTGTTTTTCTGCAAAGAGAATTGGGAGATTGGCTTTGTGGGACCGTTGTTCCGAGAAAGCTGAGTGGCGGTGGATTGATGGGATGGCCGCAACTGCCATGGGAGTCTACTGTGCTAGTAGGTATGCTGCTGACATTGGCATGAGGAGGGATGTAGTGAAGGTGTCGGTCGAGGATATGGCGAGGAGAGTGGCAGCTGGCCTGCTCCAGGTGGCCGATGCCCAAATCACAGCGGCCCCAATCGCGGCCCTTGCAGGAGGTTCTTCGAACCTTGTCGCTTGATAGTTTGATTGTTTTTATTACATTAATAAGCACTGGTGCAATGACATCTGCTGTTTAAGCTGGCTTGTATGATGAGTTGTCTGATCCTTTTGGGCTTGATGCATTTTTAACTCCTGCCTCTGCAAAGAAAGATGACAGAACAAAGAAAAAAAAAACATAACAAGATCACGAAGGAAGAGGAAAGAGAAATGGCTGGTAGTGCTTGACGTAGTTCTCTATGCCGTTTACATGCTCAGCATCTTCGACATCTACTTCAAGTCCTTCATTGTCCACAGCATGGATCCCGTCACCTTTCGCTTCTCAAGTCACCTTCTCCTCACGCTGCCAACAAACCTCGAGCTCGTCACCCTGGCCACCATGATCAAAATTAACGAAGAGCTTCATTGACCGCTGTCAAACGACTAGCCGGTCTTCAAACTCGACGCCTTACACTCTGCTTCAAGCTCTGGCTGCTTCTGCACCTCCGCCATGGCTGCTGCCTTTGAATGTGATCAACAAAATCAAAGTTTGTCAACTCACATCCAAAGATCTCATCCGTCTGCTTGCCTTTGCTGCTGTCTTTGAATGTGATTGACAAAATCAAAGTTTGTCAACTCACACCCAAAGATCTCCTCCGTCTTCTCTCAGACTCGGCCTGGGTTTTCACCCACGAACTCAGCCTTGCAGATGGCCTTATAAAGAAAAAAAAAAAAAAGTAGCAATGATGATGCTGGGAAGCATCTTTCAAAAGAAAAAAAAATTAATATATATATATATATATATATATATATATAATAAAAACATTGATGGTAGATGGCACCATGTAAAAGAAAAAATAAAAAAAAAAACTTTCATGGTGGCGGACATCAAGTAATAAATATATATATATATATATATATATATAATTATAAAGGCTTCAGGCGTGAAGGCAAAAGAATAAAAAAAAAAGGTGGCAATGATGATGTTGGGAAACATCTTTCAAAAATAATAAAATAAAAAAAGAGATAGCAATGATGATGTTGGGAAGCATCTTTCACCAGCTGCCAACTGTTTAAATTAGCAGATTGGAGGGCATTCGGCTCTCACAATGCCAAAAGCTGAAACCACTCACAATGGCAAGCTACTGTTAGCAAGTCAAGAAGAAAATAAGGAGAAGGTGGTGCACGGCATCACTTGCAAAAGTGTGTTAAAAAAAAAAAAAAAAAAAAAAAAAAAAAAAAAGGAAATAACACATCTTGGTGATATATATGTTTTATTGGTATTTAGTACAATACACTGAATAAAATAAAACATGTACATTGATCTCCGAGAAATTACAAGGGCATACAAAAAAAAAAAAAAAAAAAAAAAAAAAAAAAAAAAAAAGATGGAGCTTTCACAAAGGATGTTCACGTGAAGCCCCACTACTTGGCCAAACTCCAGGAGCAGGAGGCACCGAAGAAGATAGATCATTCGAGGCCCCAAGACCTGGTGGAACGCTGGATGATGCAGGAAAAAGGTGTCTCTGGAAGAAAGACGCAAGCCTTTGACGGTCACTTTGAATTCGACCTTGAGATTCTTGCATCTCATCAAGCTTCCTCTTCATGCCCGACGAATAGTTATTTGCAAGCACATGCAAACTTCTATTCTCGTACTTAAGCTGTTTAATCTCCTGCTTAAGATTTTCCACCTCTGCCATCAATGATTCCACCTGACGGGACCGAGCAAGCAGGCGTTGGCCCATGTTGGACACAGAGCCAGCGCACTGAACACTCAGAGCCAGGGATTTTTGAACGACCAACTCATCAGACCGTCCTGAAAGCAGCTGACTGTCTTTGGGAGTGAGGAGGTTCCGAGCCACTATTGTAGCTGTTGTGGCGTCCTGCATCACTGAGTCTTCACCTGTAAGAGGACCGTTAGAAGATAAGAAAGAAGGACACCATACATTACCTTGAAGCGGCGCAACCGGATCACTGCTGAGACTCAATTCTAAGCTAAGGTTCGATGGGTTAGCCATTTTTCAAAGGTGTTAAAAGAGATGGGTGGATGGAGTTAAAACTCAAAAGGCCGGAGATGATTTTCAGGAATGAGCAACCTTCGAAGTGTGCATGTTAGAGGTGATCAATACCTCTATAAAAACGAAGAGGCGCTTGCTCAGAAATCGAAGGGCCGCTTGTTCAAAAAAATGAAGAGACATCGCTCTGCAAATCTCAAAAGCTGGATTTTCCGGCGTAAGTTAGGCGACGCTTTCTCTGCTTTTCAGAAAACGCGTGCAGCTTTGTCAAAAGAGGCACTCGTTCAGAAATCGAAGAGGCGTCGTTCAGAAATCAAAAAGGCGTATTCAAAGATCGAAGAGTCATCACTATTTCAAAAAGCCGGATTTGCGGGATCAAAACGTTTGTCGACAAGGGTAAAAGAACAGTACCACCACTTGTTATTGGGAAATCCCTATATATGTCGACCTTCATCTTTTATGGCAAGGCAAACCTGCAAACAAGAAAAAAAAAAATGCCCAACTCTTCCTCACCTCCGAGAGTACACTCCCAGCAAAACATCTCAAAATGCTCAGTTTTCTTCCTCTCCGAGAATACCCTTGCAAACAAATGACACCAAGGCAAAAGTATCTCATATCATCAAGGGCGAAAGCAAAGGTATCTCATATCATGCTTTTCCCCTATCTTTTCCTTTGCCCTTGTTCTCACCTGCCAGGACAAGGACAGAGAAAGCAATATGTCGGAACCTCCACTCAAACTTGCGCTGCCACCAAGAAGTAATGGTCCATTCAAATGCAAGGTTTGCATTCAACTCCTGCATTAGGAACAAATAGTACAAGAGAAGATGCTAAACCTGCATAAGGAAATACCACTTCTACAAAGGGGAGCAAGTAAGGCAAGTGAAAATGATGCATTGAAGCATGTGGAGACAAGCTACAACTGCATATGCTGAGCTATCCTCTAACCCTCTTCAATACGAATTGGAGAGATTGAACAAAGAAACAAAAAAAAAGGAGTAAGCTCAGACCTTCGGGGAAGACCAAAAGAATCCTGCCGCCCAGTTCAAGAGTAGCACAAAGGAAAATCAACGATAGGGGGAGACCAAAAGAATCCTCCAACCCAGTTCAAGATCAAGCCTCGATGGCCCTTGAAGAAATCACAAGTCCGATTCAAAATCAAGTGTTCACCACCCTTGAATCAAATTCAACTCCAGATAAAAGGAGTAAGTTCAGACCTTCGGAGGAGACCAAAAGAATCTTCCAGCCCAGTTCAAGATTAAGCCTGCGGAAAATCAACGATTGGAGGAAACCAGAAAATCTTCCAGTCTAACTTAAGATCAAGCCTCGATGGCCCTTGAAGAAATCTCCAGCTCAATTCAAGATCAAGCCTCGACGGCCCTTGGGTTGACATCTACATTAAGGGACTTCAAAACGCATCTTCTACACGTGACAAGCACATGTCTACGACACGCCTTGAAGTGGGGGCATTTGTAGACATCAAAATTTCGGTGAAATAAATGTTGACCAAAAATTAAAATTTCAACGCTCACGTATCACATAAATTTTACATGTAGCGTGTGACTCAACGAAAAATCGAAATAAATTGGAAAAGTCATCAAATAGGACACGTGTCAATACCTGGCAGAAATGATTTATTTCATCTGATTATTTAAATCCAAAAATCAAGTTTTGGAATTCTATAAATAGGAGGCCAAGGCATTCATTTTGAAGGAAGAAAGAAAAGGAGAAGGAAGGAAGGAAGGAAGAGGAAGAAAGGAAGGGAAATTGATGTCACACCAAAGCCTTCAAGCCTTGAAACTCTAAAGCTCTCAAGCAAATCCCGAAGGATCAAGAAAGCACTCTTCGTTCTTCGTCAAATCCTCCTTCAAGATCAAGCCCCAACGGCCCTTGAAGAACTTCCACCAACTCAAGATCAAGCCCCGACGGCCCTTGAGGAAAGTGTTCATCGTTCATCATCCATCAACCTTCAAGATCAAGCCCCAACGGCCCTTGAAGAACTTCCACCAACTCAAGATCAAGCCCCGACGGCCCTTGAGGAAAGTGTTCATCGTTCATCATCCATCAACCTTCAAGATCAAGCCCCAACGGCCCTTGAAGAACTTCCACCAACTCAAGATCAAGCCCCGACGGCCCTTGAAGAAAGTGTTCATCGTTCATCATCCGTTCATCCTAAGTTCAAGCCCCAATGGCCCTTTGGATCAACAACCTCAACAAATCCACACATCCAATCGTTCTTCAAGATTAAGCCCAAAAGCCCTTGAAGATCTGCTCATCCATCAACCTTCAAGATCAAGCCTCAACGGCCCTTGAAGAACTCCCACTAACTCAAGATCAAGCCCCGACGGCCCCTTGAAGAAAGTGTTCATCATTCATCACCCGTTCATCCTGAGATCAAGCCCCAACGACCCTTTGGATCAACAACCTCAACAAACTCATACACCCATTCTTCAAGATCAAGCCCAACGCCCCTTGAAGATCCATTCATCAACTGTGCATCCTTAGATCAAGCCCCGACGGCCCTTTGGATCAACAACTCATCCACAAACCCACATCGTACGAAGATAGAATCAGAGGATCAAATTACAAAGAGATTGTAACCCCAAAATCATTAATACAAAAAATATATTTTGTACACGTATTCTTGTCTCTTGTGTTTCAGGAATTTCTCGTGTTTACAGCCACTGATGAGCCCGTGCAACATGAGCCATTACAAAGGGATGGACGTTACAATGAAAGGCTTATTCAACGACATACTGCATTTCAAATGCCAGACATACACAATGCCCGGCAAATTAACTTAACGGAGCACCAGTGGGCATTGAAACAAGCTGAAGATAATTAAGTTCATTTAGTATGTTTTTTTTGAATTTGGTATGTTTATGTAATTTTTTTTAGTTCAGCTTTAGTGAGTTTTTTATTATTCGGTATGCTTATGTAATTTTAATTGGTGTGTTTTTGTCATTTGAATAAATATTCTCTTAGTATAACTAACTTATCAAATTCATTTGAATAAATATTCAATAAATAATAAATTAACCTAAAGTGATTGGAAAATTATGGGCTCCGATTACAAAAACTACTCTATT